CGCAATCCTAGGTCGGAGTCGCAATCGTCGTTATAATGCGACCATTTTTCCTGTGTCCTCAATAATAAGCTGACCGTTGAACTCTCGCTCATCACTGGAGTGTTTGAGCCTCACTGCCAAAATGGGGAAGCTCATCCGTCTCGAGCTCTACAGTATGTCTCACACCCACCCAAGAGGCAGTGGTGCGTTGCGCTGATGCTTTGAGCAGACTTCAAGTCCTACAAGGGCCACCATATCCTCCTCCTTGGAGATTCCTACTTCACCTCAATTATCGGCCCCAATGGCTCTGGGAAATCGAATTCGTAAGTGGCCCTCGAAACGCCACGATATTCCCTCACTTACCTTCGGCTAGAATGGATGCGATTTCTTTTGTTCTCGGCATTAAATCGTCTCATTTACGCTCAGCTCACCTTCGCGACCTTGTTTTTCGAGGTCGAGTACTGAGAACTTCGAAAATCAATGGGGACGGCTCAGCAACAACCAACGGGCTCAACGGTCACACGAACGGCGATGCAGGCTCGGATCAGGAAGAGAGCCAAAATGGCACGCAGGAACGCAATGACCCCAAGAGCGCTTGGGTAGTGGCCGTCTACGAGGACGATGCTGGCGACGAGCAATTCTGGAAGCGTACAATCACAAATCAAGGCGTTAGCGAATACCGCATTAACGACCGCGTGGTGTCCGCGCAGCAATACAATGAAGCTCTGGAGTTGGAGAACATTCTAATCAAAGCTCGAAATTTCCTGGTTTTCCAAGGTGATGTGGAAGCTATCGCATCTCAGTCACCTCGAGATCTGACGCGCCTTATCGAACAAATTTCCGGCAGTCTCGAGTACAAAGCGGACTACGAGAGATTGAAGGAAGCTCAGGAAGAAGCTTTGGAGAACCAAAATTTTACTCTGCATCGACGGAGAGGCATCAATTCCGAGATAAAGCAGTACACGGACCAGAAGAACGAGGCCGACAATTACAACAAGAAGGCCGATGAGAGGGATCAGGCTATCGTGACCCACATACTCTGGAAATTATACCATTTCCAAAGGGTAATTGAGGAGTCCGGGGCGGAAATCCAGAAGCACCAGGAAGAGCTCAAGGAGCAGCGACGTGGAATCGAGAAGTACGATAGACTTCTAGAGGAAGCCAAAAAAGAACAGGCTAAAGTCGGCCGGGATGTCTCCAAAATTGAGAAGACCATCAGACAGAAGGAAAAAGACATCGAAACCATGGAGAACGGTATAGTGCCAATTACTGAGAAAATCGATATAACAAACAAAAATCTCACGACCAAAAACAGTCGGATTGCGGAGCTCTCGAAGGAACATGATATCCACTTCCACAACGTAAAACAATCGACCAAGGACTTGAAGGTTGTCGAAAAAGCACAAGCTCAGTGGGAGGGCGAGTTCACAAAATTGGCTGAACAAGAGGGTCGTGAATTGAGCGCAGCAGATTTGCAGCGCTATAACAAGTTGAGGGAGGAAGTCAATAAAAAGACTTCGGCTGACCAAATCAAAGTGGACAGTCTCAGTCGTCAGCAGAAGGCCGATGAAGAGACAGTCATGAGCTTGAAAAGCAAAGTAGACACTGTGGATTGGCAGGCCCAGAAGCTAGGTGAGGAGTTGGCCGAGATCGGCGAGCGTAAGGACAGCGTCAACAGCCAGATCAAACAGACTACGAAGGAGATCAATGGCAAGAAGAAGACGTTCAATGAACACACTTCTGAACGACTTCGTCTTGCGCAATTAAGGACGGAGAAAGATGAGAAGCTTCAAGAGGTATTGACGAAGCTACTGGAGGCAGAAGACGGCAGGAAGCAGAACGAGAAAGACCTCCGCCTAAAGGCTACTATCGCCGATATGAAGCGTATTTTTCCTGGTGTCAAGGGCCGAGTAAGTGAACTGTGCAAGCCCGTCGAAAAGAGATACCAAACCGCGGTCAGTACAGTCCTCGGGCGCAATTTCGATGCAGTCATTGTCGAGAACGAGAAAACGGCTATCGAATGCATTCAGTATCTGCGAGAACAGCGTCGGGGTCAAGCAACGTTCATACCTCTGGACACTATCCAGTTCGCTGCCTTGAATTCCAATCTCAAAGGTCAATACCGCGGTTGCCGAACGGCTCTGGACACAATCGACTATGTGAGGTCCCTAGAACGTGCGTTTTCCTATGTCTGCGGTAATGCTGTCATTTGTGATGATCTTGTCATAGCCAAGACCATCTGCTGGGAGAAACGCAATGATGTCAAGGCGGTCACTCTTGATGGTTCAATCATACACAAAGGCGGCAATATGACTGGTGGTCAGAGTGGCAAGCAGGACTCACGGCGATGGGAAGACACGGAGGTGGAAAACCTTCGGAAGCTGCAAGAAAAGCTAGTTTCGGAATTGGCAGCACTTCCAGAATCGCGTCGCGGCGCTTCCGAAGAAGAATTGCTCCAAGGGGAGTTGACAGGTCTCGAGCAGAAATTGACATATCTTAAAGACGAAGCCAAGGCACATGATCGAAACCAGACTAGCAAGCAAAAGGAACTAGCTCACGCTCGACAAGAGCTAGGAGCATCCAAGCCAAAGTACGAGGCGAAGCTTCGAGAACTTGAAGACCTCGAGAGCACACTGAAGGGGTTTCAGGATGCTGTCAGCGAAGTACAGGACGACGTATTTGCAGATTTTTGCCGACGACTTGGGTACAACAACATACGTACCTATGAGGCTCAGCAGGGCTCATTGCAGCAGGAGGGAGCGCAGAAGAAGCTTGAATTCAGTACACAAAAGAGCCGTCTCGAGAGTCGAATTAGCTATGAGCAACAGCAACTGCAGGAGATCAAAAGTCGTATCAAAGTTGCGCGAGATCGTGCTGCACAGGATGAGACCCTCGTCAAAGAGCTTGAGGTAGAAAAAGAATCCTCGCAAAATGAGTTGGATAGTTTGATGGTGGAGCTAGACCAACTAACCGAGCAGCTGGAGCAACAGCAGGTCAAGGTCAATCAGAAGGCCGAAAAGGTTGCAGAACAGCGTCGTGAGGTGCAGAAGAGAAGCAAGACTGTCGATGGTACCTTAAGAGCCATATCAGGTTTGGAAGCTGATAGACAGCTTAATGCCTCCAGCAGGTACACTCTTTTAAGGCGCTGCAAGCTCGAGGACATCAGCATCCCGCTAGAGGAAGAATCAAGAGGTCTCGACCAACTACCTCTTGATGACGTTCTCCAGACTGACACTGGTGCCTTGGACGTGGATGACGACCCAGAGGCGAGCAGTATACCTGAAGTTCAAGACTACGGCATCGAGATTGATTTTGACGGCCTTGATGAGGATCTAAGGGAGGTATGGATATTTCGTCTGGGCTTATATGCATCATGTCTTTGCAATGCTAATTACCAGCATAGAGTAATGACGAAAAGCTAGACTCCGAGTTGCAAGGCCGCGTCAAAACCCTAAATAACGAGCTGGAAAACATGGCACCTAACATGCGTGCAGTCGAACGTTTAGGGGTAGTGCAGGATCGACTGAAAACTACAGACCGGGATTTTGAAGATGCACGAAAGCGTGCCAAAAGAGCGAAAGATGAATTCCAGGCAGTGAAAGAGCAGCGATTCGAACTTTTCAGCAAGGCTTTCTCGCATATCTCGGAACAAATTGGGCCGATCTACAAAGATCTTACCAGAGATACCTCTCTACCTATGGGCGGTCAAGCGTATGAGATACCACGGTCATTCAACTTCTTACTACTTTTTGCTAACCATCAACAGATACCTGGACATGGAAGACGGCGACGAGCCCTATCTCGACGGGATCAAATACCACGCCATGCCACCCTTAAAGCGATTCCGCGACATGGAGCATCTTTCCGGGGGTGAGAAGACCATGGCTGCTCTTGCCCTGCTATTTGCAGTCCACAGCTATCAGCCGTCTCCATTCTTCGTGCTCGATGAAGTCGACGCTGCGCTGGACAATGCCAACGTCGCGAAGATTGCGAACTATATCAGAGACCATGCAGGACCCGGAATGCAATTCATTGTGATTAGCTTGAAGACTGGTCTCTTCCAGGGTAGTGAGGCGCTGGTAGGGATATACAGGGACCAAGGAGCAAATTCGAGCAAGGCGTTGACGTTGGATGTAAGCTCTCTCCTGTTATTGCATTTATCTGGGACCACTCTGTGCTGACACTGATTTCTGTAGTTGCGCAGGTATCAATGATTTCTCGGCGATGTCTATGTCTTGCAACAGTTTGCTCCCTTCAACATTTTCTTGTATTCATGACTTTCGTTGTGCTCTCGGTAGCATTGGCTTACAACAACGATCACGGGAAGGTCGTGTGGATGAGGCCCGGACGGCTTGAGAGATGTATCATAGATGATGATGTACAGTCGGAATGGATTGTGATTCTTGCTACCGGCGAAGAGACACAGAATACTAAGTCACCATGCCACGTATATATTATCGCTTCCATCTCCTTGTGTGCTATTGAGATGAAGGTTTTCAGCGGAACATGACGACACTGAGGGTGGAGCCTGCCGAAGAAGCAGATATTGCGGGCCCCGTTTCTAGTTCGATGTTCCGAGGATGCTGTCGGACTGGACACATGATACACCATCATTTGAGAAGGCTTCGGAGTATGACCTATACTCTAATCGGTATTGGCATCCTGGAAGATAAGTGACCGAGCAGGAAGTGAGCATTTTGCTCAAGGATGTGGCACTACCCTACCTGCTCAATTCTCCAATCCCGAGCCCGTCCAGACCTCTATTAGGATGTTTCCAAATCTATTTCTATATTAAGATTGCTGCTGACCAAGTCTCTCATCCTTGATTGGTGGGTGAGCCATCACCAGATCCCAATTCCATTCTCCCCAATTTTCTGGGAAATGCGTCGCTTCCAGGCCAGGACAGCGGTGTAGAAGAGCGCTCAACACGTGCCTTAGCGACCTCTTTGGCCCCACCAGTAATATCGTCGCCCACGACCCATTGAGTATCTGCCATGGAGAATGATTTTCCGACTCAGGTCTCACGCGAGCTTAATTTTCACCAATTTGTCGAGTGCTTTCCCATCATCCAAGGCCCAGGCTGGGTCCTTACCCAGTTTCCACACCCGATTATTTCCTCGAACGTGAAGATAGTGAAAACCCTCGCTGGTGAATGCCCTTCTGGTGCCCATGAAACCTCTCCACATCCAGTATCCTGCCTGTCTGAAGGGGAGCGTAAGAAGGTTAGTCTTTGCGAACGCACGTAGTCGCTCTTCCCGCAGAGTAATTTCAGCAATGGTTGCCTCCAACTTCTGCTCCGCGTCGTCATTGAACATGTGTGAGGATATCGTAACGTCGCCCGGAGGCACTGTGACAAGCTTTCGTCGCCTGAATGGTAATATCGGAGTTCGTTCTATTTGCAGCAACAAAGACCTAGACCCTGGTCCTGACTTTGATGAAGAGGGAAGAGTGCTAATCGTCCTGACCATGTTTTGTGGCTAACGTCTAGGTCAATCTTACAGCAGAAACGCCCTCGATTGCAACCCTTCTCACCTTGAAAAGCATCCAGAACCCTCCACAGGCGATCATAAAGCTACCAACACTTGTGAAGACGGGCACCCACTGTGGCACACCTCCTGGCTGAACGTAGAATTGAGTCCGGAAATTGAACCATGCGGCGGCCAGAAGACTGCCTCCAATCGCATAACACCCGAAAAGATAGTGACCGTAGGATGAAGCCTGATATAGTAGAGTTGGAGAGGTCCGAAGGGCCAACTTTTTGTTGAGAGGTTCGTAAGCAGCAGGCTTTCGAGATCCAGAGATTGGAGTCTGGCTAGGTTTTGGGGTTGCTCTTTTAGGCGATTGTGGGATCCCAGCTCTCCTTTGAGCTAAGCTTTGAGCGCTGTTAGAGATTCGACATCTTCGAGAAGAAGCGAGCAGCTGGTTACGCCTTCCAAGGCCCCATGTAAACGATTGAGCGAACGAACCAGTCTTGAAGCTTGCCTGCAAACTCATTGAGTCGACGGCGCCTTCAAGCTCGAAGCAACGCCAAACTCTAAGCCTGCTTCAAAGCTCTGGTCAGGAGCACATGCATGTTGTCAGGAAGTAGCTGTTCAATTTCGCGTCGATGATCTTCAGTGTCAAGTGTGTAGAAAGACTCGGCGTCGGCGATATTCATTTCTAGCTCCGGCCGCTGCCCAACTCAAGCTTTCTCCATTTGTCCAGTTTCAGCTTCATCTTCACGGCCATTCCGGATTTTAAATTACGTGCGAGGTACAGCTACTTCATGTGCATAGAAACCTTCTACTCTTCGATAGCTCCCGGACATTCATGGCGTCGTTATGCACAATAAGTAGAGAAGTCGCTCGAAGCTCGAGCCGACCATTACGCACTCATGCTTGCTACAGAGGTCTGTCGTGGAATTTCAAAGCGCATTGGCTTCACCTAGTAATAATGACGCCCCTGCTGATTCTTTTGGTAGGTTTTCGAAGCTGCTCGAGGATACTGGCTGCCCAAAATTTTACAATGCCAGCAATGTCACCCACAATGACCGAGGGAAACATTGCATGCTGGAAGGTTAAAGAGGGTAAGCAGTCTGTGGTGGGTCATTAATCGACTCTATGATTTTGCTAATGTCTGATCTTACAGGAGACTCTTTCTCAACTGGTGATGTCCTCCTGGAAATTGAGACCGATAAAGCCCAAATGGACGTGGAAGCACAAGATGATGGTAGAATGGCGAAAATAACAGTACTTGACCCTGCTGCCGAGTCATGACTGTAGTGACATACTGACACTAATTGTGTGACAGCAAGAAGCTGGATCAAAGGGCGTAAAGGTTGGCACTCGGATAGCTGTGTTAGCAGATATCGACGACGACCTGAGCACATTGACTCTTCCAGCCGCAGAGTCCGCCCCAACGCCCTCGGAACAAGAAAATAAAGCTAGCATTAATGCATCAAAGTCATCAGAATCTCATGCTAGTGCATCACCTTCCTCAAGAGCTGAAGATTCTTCTACAAAACCCTCGAACCCCCCTGCGCCCTCTACCTCCCCAGGCAGACCTCAAAAACAACTTTATCCGCTGTACCCATCGATCGCTCAGTTACTCCATGAGAATGGTCTATCCAGCTCTGAGGCAGATAAAATCCCCGCTAGCGGACCCAAAGGCCGATTGCTAAAGGGAGACGTTCTAGGATATCTGGGCAGAATATCCTCAACATACTCCTCCGAACAATCCACGCGGATCACCAAACTTGGGCATCTAGATCTCAGTAACGTCAAGCCCGCTCCGTCCAAAGCAATGGCACTATCTCAACCAAGCAAAGCCCAAGCACAAAAAAGACCGGGCCCCGAACTCGAATCGACTGACACGGAAGTTGCCATTCCTATTTCTTTATCATCGGTGATATCTGTCCAACAACGCATCCAAGCGACTCTAGGTGTTACCCTTCCCCTCTCAACATTCATCGCGCGCGCTACAGAGCTTGCCAATGACGACCTACCACGCTCTGCGGCTACGAAACCAACAGCTGACGAGCTTTTCAATGATGTCCTCGGGCTGAACAATGTCAGCACAAAGACCTCGAAAGCCAGGTACGTCCCGCAGATCACTGCGTTGCCGACGAAGCCCTTTACGGAGAGAGCTGGTCCGCGAAGGCAACAAGACATATATGACATATTGACTGGCGGGTCATCTACAACAGCTTTGACCAAAAAGTTCGGAATACAACCGCCAGGTATGATGGCTGGTTCGAAGACAGGAGAGTCGACAAATGTCTTTAGCGTCAGTGCAGCGAAGGGAGAGGAGAAACGAGCGAGAGTGTTTTTAGAAAGGGTAAAGACCATCTTACAAGTCGAGCCTGGGAGATTAGTTCTCTAATCAGAATAAGCGGACAGATAGTCCATTCCAAACCCCAGCTACTGTACTCTGTGTAGACACATGTATAGCTTTTTGCGCGTCCGCTATGTAGATGATGAGCTCATATTAGCCAAACGCCTTGCAATCGGTACTCTCCCTTGGATAAAGCTCATGACGCTCGTCGGTCCCTTCATATTCCTCAAGTTGCCAGCAAATCCCTGCTAGATGAACGCTTATGTATTGATGCCTAACCCATTGGTTTCGGTTTTCCTCATCTGATTACACCCCACCTTTCCATCCTCGCCCCTGCTCCTTCGCTCCCAACTCCATCCCGCTCCCTCTTCCCGAAACATTTCCAAAACCGCAAGGTCTCGTCCCCAGCACCAGTCACAACAGTCTGTCCGTCAGGGCTCATCGCCAAGTACAGTACACGATAAGTATGTCCCGTTAGGCTCGCTACCTGGGTCATGCTTGGGTACTTCCAGACAACTATCTGGTTCTGGCTGTAACCGTGCGTGGATACAAGCTCATTGCTGTTTTTCGACCAGGCGAGGTTGCAGACCTGGGACCCTGTGTCAAGCTCTTGTATACAGGTTCCAGTAGACGTATTCCAGAATTTGATACGACGATCTGCTGTACCACCACCTGAGGCAAGAAGGTTATGTTGGTGAGGTGACCAAGCTATGGCCTTCACTGCTGCGGTATGTTCACTGAACTTCCACAGGGGAGTTTCGGATAATTTATCCCATACCATCAACTTGTTGTCATTACCGCCGGAAGCCAATTGGCCGTCCTCGGTGTTCCAGCGTAAGCCGCAGACTTCCTGCTTATGGCCTACTAGTTTTCGCAGATATTGATCTGGCTGTCTGACGTCACGGTGGAAAATAAGGCGGTCTCGGGAGCCTGAAGTCAAGATGTGGTCGTTCCAAGCTAGGGCGCCCACACGAGCTGTATGCCCTGTCATGGTACGCAGACGTCGCTGCTTTTCCGCATCCCATATCTGCACTAGCCCTTTGTTTGTGCCGATCGAGACATGTGTGCCACGTTGAATCCAAGACACGGAAGTGACAATGTCGTCTTGGAGTTCGCAAAGTTTGGTGACCCGACCTGAGGTGGAATTCCACATGTAGACGCAGGAGCCCAACCCTACACCGAGAATGTTGCTACCGCCCCAATCCACAAGATTCAAATAAAAATCGTCCGCAAGATCTGGCGCATCGAGTACTTTGAACGGAACCTTGCTGACTGCTCGGGGTGCTTTTCGCGGGCTAAGAAGAAGCCTTTGACTATCGAAGCGGACCGGAGATAAACTGTAAAGATCCGAACGTGCGTTGAGGTTAGGCCCGTGCCGACTCTGTGGCGTCCTTGATGGTGTTGGGTGCCCGGATATATTTGTATGATGGCGAGGGGACATGTACGTGAAGAGGTTTTTGTGGGGTGTCGAAAGTGTAAGGCTGGTGGGGAGTGATGAGGATGAAGAATTTGTTGGCGGCGTCCTTGATCTGGACGGATCGTTGATAGTGGTTGAGTGGGTGGAAGTTAGGTCAGGTGACAGACTAGGAGGTGTTGGTTGTGGAATTGTATTATCAAACAATTCGGATCGAAGAAGAGTGGAGAAGGTTCGATTTGCTTCCTCAGCTGCAGAAAGTCAGTCTACGATTCCATATATGCAAGGTGTGGCAGAATGCTAATCACTTTTCTGGAAATGGAGCTCTCCGTGAGGAGTCCTTTTCTTGGCTTTCGATGGTGTCGCAGGCGATGCATCGTCATGTAGTAGGCTGAAGCTGGCCTGGAGATCTTGACCCTCTCGGTTCGGGATAAATCTAAGTGCGAACTTGCGTTAATTCCCATTCTGATTCGAGCTGTAGCACAATTGGCTTGGGCTATTCCTCTTCCGATCACGCCAACGTCAAGATGACCAAAGAGGCCACCATATTTCGATCCAATCCCGGAGAATCCTGTAAAATCACAACGACTGAGACTTCCACTGACCTGTCACCATATATTCTTTGTCTTTTCCTACTGGGACTGGCGCCTGGTGTTTTCTCTCTTACTCGTCCGGCGTCCTCCATATCCTTCAGTGCTTTGCTCAGGGCAGTGGGGTCCACAGGTTCTGATCCTGCTCTTTCAGCTCCGTTCGTAATGTGACCGTTGGTAGGATTGCGCTTGACAGCCGCAGAGGGTGTTTTGGTATCCGATGGAACCAAGGTTGGGATGTGTGACTTTTCCATAGTGATGATGAAAGAATGATGTAGGAAGGGATTCTAGGCTATTGCACGAACGATATGTGGCGTTCCGGAACGATAGCTTGTGTTGAGGGGTCGTTTGTGAGTGTAGAATTCTGAACGTGTAGCAAAATATCAGCCCCTATGCCCGCCAAAGGTCGTCCTCGAGGCGGACTGCGAATTTCCCCTATTGCGATTGACCCTTCCGTATCAAGCTGGCAGCGGGCGTTTTCACACTTTTGAGGTCGTCCAAAGGTATGCAGCGAGTGCTCGTCGAAGAGATTGATGATAGTGTCGATGTTGTTCGTCGAAGCTACCAATCAGAAGCTAAAGGAAGTTCTGCTTCTTCAGTCTTAGCGCACTCAGTGCTTGGCAAATAATGAAGCTGCAACTGGCAGATAATCGTCCACGAAGAAGGAGTTGAGAAAACCATGTGTATGCCCGTCCTTCAAGCCAAGTGTGTTAGACTTACCAAAGTGTTAAGATCGCAATCATCGTCAGCAAGCCTACGATGTGTCAAAGCACGCGCATTTCTTGACCAAGTGAAAACAATCTTGATGCGGTTTAGTCACGATCGCCCTTTAGCGCTGCGTCTGAAGCTTACCTTTGAGCCTCTTAATGGTTGGTGCAGATTCGTTCACTCGTGGAAGAGTCGTCGGTTCGGCGACATTTTGTAGGAAGAGTGTCGGGCAGTCCATAGTCATATAACGCGCATCCATACATTGTTTACCTTCTCCCACTGCAACAACGCACCTCCGCCCAGAGCGATTGGTTCCATATATATTTTCCATCTCCCGCTGCTACAGCGCCCCCACCTTCAGAATGGACGCCTCTGCGAGCGCAGATCCAGGCCACGAGCTTCTCTCGTTCATCAATGCTTCACCCACTCGTGAGGACACACCCTCATGACACCCATGGAAACCTTTGACACTTTCTAGCTTTTCATGCCGTCAGTTTACTCAAACAAAAACTCGACAAAGCAGGATTCAACTGTTTACAAGTAGATACAACGAAACGTCAAGCCAATGACCAATCTGCTTACGTCCTTCCTAGGAGAAAGAGCCGTGGTCCAGAACGTGTAAAGCGGGTGGGAAATACTACCTCACACGCAATGCTTCAACCATTCTAGCATTCGCGATAGGGAGAAAATGGAAGGTCAATTTTTACCGCATTTCTTTCCATGCAGGCCTGCAGTAGACTGGCTGCTGACCTACCGTCACTTATCAGCCCGGAAACCCCGTTGCTATGATTGGCGCACATACTGATTCGCCGACGCTTCGAGTGAAGCCTATCAGCAAGAAGCAGGGCGACGGCTTTATTCAAGTCGGTGTTGAGACTTATGGTGGAGGCTTATGGCACACATGTACAATTTCCTGTTTCTCTCTGAGTTTTGACATAAGGGTTGTAGCTCATGCCATCCACAGGGTTCGATCGAGATCTTAGCATGGCTGGCCGAGCGATGGTCAAAGACAGGAACGGACGCTTTGTACAAAAACTAGTCAGAGTTCAACGGCCAAGTACGACCTTTCACTATCATGCTTTATCCATATTCAAGACTGAATATTAATCTAGTCCTAAGGATACCTACCCTTGCCATTCATCTAGATCGTCAGGAGACGTTTGCTTTCAACAACGAAACTCAATTGTTTCCCATTGCCGGGCTTATCGCAGCAGAGTTGAACCGTCATGGCGAGGGTGACGATACCGCAAAGGCTGAAACACCGAGCGAGGGTGGCAGCTCCACTCGTTTCAGTCCACTGAAAGCGCCAGACGAGAGGCATCATCCCCATATCGTTGAAATGATAGCCAACGAGGTCAAGGTTGCTCCCTCCGAGATTGTTGACTTCGAGATGGTTCTGTACGATACCCAAAAGTCATGTGTTGGAGGCCTCAACGAGGAACTCCTGTTTTCTCCCCGGCTCGATAATCTCGAAATGTCCTTTTGCAGCACTGTGGGTCTTATGAATTCGGTTAATTCATCGTCTTCCTTGGACGACGAGGAATCAATACGGCTAATATCACTTTTTGACCACGAGGAGATTGGAAGTAAAACCGCTCAAGGCGCTGATTCGAACTTTCTTTCAGCCATCATAAGGCGCCTCTCTGTCCTTCCTGGGTTTGGAGGCAACGCAGAACCCGACCCAGATGCCTACGAGCAAAGTTTGTCAAAATCGTTTCTCATCTCCGCAGACATGGCTCATTCCGTGAATCCAAATTACGCCGCGAAGTACGAGACAGACCACAAGCCAGAGATGAATAAAGGCACTGTGATAAAGATCAATGCTAATGCACGCTATGCTACTAATTCACCCGGCATTGTGCTCGTTGAAGAAACTGCTCGCAGAGCGAGGGTTCCATTGCAACTATTCGTTGTTCGCAATGATTCAAGCTGTGGAAGCACGATTGGGCCAATGCTGTCAGCCGCGTTGGGCACGAGAACATTAGATCTAGGGAACGCACAACTAAGTATGCATAGCATAAGAGAGACTGGGGGTATCTACGATGTCGACTATGCCATCAAGCTGTTTGAAAGCTTCTTCGTGCATTACAATGAGCTAGGAAGAAGCTTTACCATCGATTAGAATCCGCAAAGGGGTAACACAAGGAGAGTGGTATCAGGTCATTACATATATCAAGCTCCAAGGCCAACGCCATTCCAGGCACATAAAGCACCTCTGAGATGCTTCCATATACTCGTTTCCACCCCCATTTGCACGTTACCCCCATTTACACGCTCTTAAACCCGATAAATCCGATATAGATAGCCACCACTACTATAGCTACTACTACTACTTATTTAAATAGATTACTATTATACTTTATTAGAAAAGCTATAATAATAATATGTGCTG